TTGTATTGGTGCAACTTTCATTTCGCTTGACGAGGTGAGCGGAAGGAGCTAGTAAATTAGTCTTAACGGAAGCCGAAGGAGGATTACCTTGGAGTTATGTCTGTAGATTTGTGCCAATAAATCTTCCCTTCTTCATGATTTCTCATATTTCGTCAGAGGAGAACAGGTTTTTGTCTTAGTGCTTAGCGAATCAAAACTCAGCCTGGATCCCTGCTCTGGTGATCTGTCACATGATAAATGAAAACACAGCACGGATTCATCGGGGTCGCAGATCGTTGCATCAACGACTTGTTGGCACAAATATAAATTGACCATTCCAAAGCAATTCTCCTTCCAAGATAAGTTAGTGAATTGTCTGATCGTTACATTTGATTTATTATGGCAGTTTCTCCACAACAGTAAGCAGTAAGGAGGAGCGATTTAAAAGTTATGGTAGGTTAGTATAACTTCTTTTGTTTTTTTCACCTCAATTTGATAATTCCTTCAAGGTAGCTAAAGCAAGAAAAGAAAAAAATTGATATTTCTTTACTGAAATGCTATTTTTTTTTCTTCATGCGTCTATTGAGAGCCATTCAATTGTTCTGAGGACATTGGGCCATTCATATTGCATGGAAGAAATAAAACTGATACAAAAATAGAATGCTAATTCATTGAAGCTGCTGGCTATCTAATCCTATGACTTAGGCATTACTATATCAACTCCTTAGGACGGCTAAAAGTGACTATTATTTTCGTCATAGTTTTAAAAATAGTTTCAGTAGCAAATCTTTAGTTTCGAAGCAGATGATGATTCATTCATTGTTAAATAGCCTTAATAAAAGACATCCTTTTGACGTATTTTTTGGACATTCGCCAACTTTTATGTATTGTGAGGACATAACTCGGCAAATCTCACAACTCTCGGTAATTTACCATTTTCAAGCGCTTTTGATTTTCAGTAACTAGTTATTCGAAATTTTCTAATTTTATTTTCGACTCCATGCTTACCATGCCGACTTTTTAAGCAATGCTTAATTTTTATCTGGCGATTAGATAGTTTTTCCTGCTAATAGACACCTCGATATAACCAATATCTATATTAAATAACTAGTCGATCTATTATTATTTATAATAGTATTTTTCAGGATGAAAATTATGTTAAATGGAGTGCTTGCATACGTGCAAAATCTACTTCCCGTAAAACAACCCTTTGAATAATATCAACACTAGCTTTAAAAACCAAATTTTCGAACTTTTGCTTATTTGATTATTACTAATTGCAGGATTAATTTAAAATGATTGTGAAAAATTGGCAATGGCTTTGAAGTAAACTCATATCCCATGCACCCCATTATTACATTTTATCCTCTAGTTTTATCATATAATCTTCTTTTGCTATAATGTATTTCTTATTTCCCAATTTGACTGATTAAAGCAAGAGGGCGGTGTTCTAAGCAGCGACGAAGATGAGAGTAGCGATCCACGCGGTCCTGGTGGATCGGCCATTCCTGACATCGAGAGATTTACTGGAGTTGGCATCCGTGTCAGTTTTACCGGAGACTCGGCCGACATGCGCGATATGAATCAGCTGTCGGGTGGACAGAAGTCATTGGTAGCGCTGACTCTTATCTTTGCCATCCAAAAATGTGATCCTGCGCCTTTTTATCTCTTTGATGAGATCGACGCCGCTTTGGATGCTCAGTATCGTAAAGCAGTTGCCGATATGATCCGCGACCTCAAGTCCGAGGCTCAATTTATTACGACTACCTTCCGACCCGAACTCCTCGAGTCCTCAGAAAAATATTATGGTGTAAAATTTAGAAACAAGGTTGGTGCTTCTACATTCATGATTTTCATCCAGAAAAAATTTGCTAGTTTTACCTCGCCAATTTTAGTTCTCCTTCTATAGAACTCATACAGATACAAAGCTTTTGAATTATGGATAAAGTTTTGCCATATTTATTTGGTACAAAACTAAGAGCGAACTCTAAAATTAAAAAAAAGAAAATCCACTCAAGGATACCCATTAACAGAAGGTAGACCAATTGGAATATGATGTTTTTCAGTCATTAAGTAGAGGCTTTCGTAAAGACTAGTCACCTTCGGTCACCAAAGCTAATGGTTGATTGCCATCTGGGAAAGATTAGCCTGAGTTAGGAACGATATACCAGGCCATAATTTAGAATGGATGATCGAATCATATAATTAAAAAAACCATTCGCAACGGAACAAGCAGGCCTGACGCTTTTTTTGTATTCACTCTTCGTAGTTGGTTATAATTTTGGCTTATTGGTTCTACTACCATCGTTCTTTGAAACAGATTAAAACTTTATAGTTGCTGGAGTTTCGCCTTCGACATTTCATATTATTTATCACTTTTATTGTAGCACAAAAACAAATATTTTTCGAAATCATGTGATCGCATTCTCTTTTCGTTGTATAGGAGTTATTTGACCTTGTTTGAGCAACTTGGTCATATTGGTAGGAAGACTTGGAGGAACGCATCTAATCCGGGATCCTTTGTATGCATGATAATGTCTAGAGTCGGACCGTGGGTGTGGTACATTCCCAGACGTTTCGCAAAAGACAAGTCTCTTCGACGAGTAGTAGTGTGGTGCTAAGACTGGCAATGCTCACTGACGATGCCGAAGAAACGTCTGAGAATGTACCACGTCCACGGTTCTACTCTGGAAATTATCACGCATACAAAGGACTCCGTATTAGGTGCGTTCCTCTAAGTTTTCCTACCAATATAACCAAATTACGAAAACAAGGTCATAAAACTTCTCAACAAAAATATTTTTACTTATATTTTATTTGTTCTATGATTCTCGGCATTTTCTTTATATCAACCAATTTTTTTAGTTGGATATTTTGATCTTTATTATTTAGAATAAAGCCAAACGGAATACTTTGATTACCTTTTTCTTAGGGGAGCAAATATGCGTAGCATGCATTTTATTCTCTGCTGACAAACTATGTTATCCATAAACATGATATCTGGATCACTTAAAATATGCTATCTCGAAGATCAAGTTAACACTTTCTAATTATAACCGGAGTGTAGTTGTCGGGGCAGATAATAATACACTTAATTTAATATATCATAGATTATTTATTTCTCTCATCCTTATTTAGGTAAGCCACATTGAGTGTGTTACCAAGGCGGAGGCCCTCGATTTTGTTGAAGACGACCAAACTCACGGCTGAAATCATACATAGACTCTATGCGTATTCTACGTTCAAAGTTTTCCTCACTTTATATTTTATATTGTCAATATTTATCTCTTATCAGTTTATATATTTTTTATAAGTCTCTGCGAGTTAATAAACCCATGTTTAAATATTTTGAAAACAGCTTTTTATGTAAATAAAGTAAATTTAATCTCTGAATTATGATTTGTTTGAATTATGACAGGTAAAGAGCGAAGCTTAAACAAGTAGGGAATGTATTTTAACACTCTTTAGCATTTGTGGAATGTGGACACGTATTGGTGCACGTATCATTGGGGGTCCGTATTGGGGGCTTAGTGTGTTGTGTGGTCAAGTCTGTGTTCATCCCAATTATCAATTAGGACGTAAAAAACGTAGATAAGAGTTTGGATAAAGTGTTCTAAGGCAGATTACTTTTGTTATATCTTCACATTTTATGTGTAAATGCATTTATCATTCAAGTTTATAATTATTTGGCGAACATACTCGTTCATACTTATTCATACATATTCATTTTATTCGCTTTACTCTCCATGGCTTAAAATATAATAAACTCGGCCTCAATTCGGGTGCTTGGTTTGACCTTAATTCTTAAATGCTCGACTGCTATTGCAGCAGCTGCCTGCTTCTGGGCAAGTCTCTCTGTCAATTTCGAGTTGGGCAATGAAATTTCTGGCAGACGGATTCGATGGAACAGAGTGAATTCGTCATCATTAACAGCTTTGACACAGTGACGAAGGTCATGCGCTTCTGATATCAAGCCAATTGTCTCGCCATCTTTTGAGGTATTTGTAATCTCATTTATACAAGTGACATCATCTTCGCTTCTGTTTTCTTTTGGATGAATTAGTTCCACTCGAGATGTCCTCTTTTTTAGCTCTAATCCCTCTTCGATTTCGTGTCTGCTACCTGCCGTTTCCTGTACTGAGACATCTATACTTTTAGTCACACCAACCTCGTCCTGGAAGTGTTCGTTGCTTGCCGACCAATTTCGCAGTACACTTAACTGTTGGGTCATCGATTGCTCACCAGTCGTTGGCTCGTCACAGCTTAGCTGCTTACCCAGCAGTTCTATTCGTTCCTTGATTAAAAGATCCACCCGCCGTCGAGTTACCGAGACATTGATAAATAGAGGGAAAAGAGAAGATTGTGGAACTGGTGAGTAACAGTTTGCACGTGGTTTCTTTAATAGATAAAATCTAGCCATAAGTGGAATGTGTATGTTGTTTAATGACATTAATGCCCTATAACAATAAAAACCTCAGAATAATCTTGCAACCTACTCGATGTCGTACAATTCTGAAGATGTACTCAGAGATGAAGCTTAGAAAAGCTTTTCCATTGCTCAGTGACCATCCTTGTGTAAAATGAAGAGATTTATCCGCACTAAACTCGACAGGTGGCCATATCGTTCAACGCACGTGAAATTTAAAACATGAGACTAGGATAGTGACTTGTATATTGTGATGTTTAGGTGACGTATATCCAATTCTAATGTGAGCTATCGCTGTGGAGTAGTCGAAAGTTGAGCAGTGTGATAATATAAGATGAATGAATCAAGAAGTCTGCTATATTCAGTTGAATTAACACGGGGTATTTACCATACCTTAGATGGCGGAGTCTACGAATGATTCTCGGTTTGCTAATTGGCTAGCATCCACTCGTATCATTCTTCATCAGAGCAAGGAATTGCGTAATGCTTATTCTAAACGCTTTTATTTTTGCACGAGCAAAACAGGTCGAAATTGGGTTTAGAAAGGAAGGATTTGGCTGTTTCACTTCGTGCATTACTGGGAAAATGAGATATTCACTGAATTATTAGACCCAGCAACGCACTCAATTTACATCCAAGACATGAAAATTTTCTTAATTTGAATTGCTTGAGAGTATAAAATCAAGGTAAAGATTCAAAAATAAACTGGAAGGCGGGATTTCAAAATGCGCAAAACTTGAAGCTGAAAGAGTACATGATCTTCATTAAAAACAATATTAGGACGTTCATCCGCCCTAGTTATAGTACAATCTTTTCATGGAAGGAACTTTGCAATTTCAACATAATCAAACTCAGGCTTGACCTTGAGTCTGTATTGAGACCACTGATGGTATTAAGATTTAGAGGCACCAGACCATGGTTGAATATTAAATAGCTAATAATATTAGTTTACAGGTAATCATTGATAAGGTTGGAAGGTATCCGGGTCATCTGAGAAAGTGAAACTTATTGCGGTGGGCATTATATAATAAGAAGTGGGACCGTCAGATTTGACTAGTTGGTGCTCTATATCTATACGTGAAACTCGAGCTACCTATCCTTTATTATTAATTGTTACGTCATCGGTTGTGAAAACGAGGTTAAATCAAGGCTATAAAGTTATCAGGTAGAGTAAATACTTAACAGTAGAATTCAGCGAATGGCATAAGGAGGCGTCACTTCAACGGCTGCTGATGCGTCCTGGGCAAAGTACAGCCTGGATTAAAAGGACTCTTCATAGATGTAACAGTGAAGGTGTGATAGGAAGATATAGGAAATGTGAATAGCCCAGGGCTGAAAGGAAGATACCACAAATGTTTAGCACACGTTTGGTCAA